TGACCAGGCCCAACCCTAATGACTGCTAGGGCTTACGTGGCGTAGTGAAGACCAGGACGTGGTCTTCGCCCTAGTTCAACCGCTCCTAGATCTCCGGAGAGTGGGTTTGACCTGCTCTTTCGGAGGTGGGCAGTTGGCCGGTGACGTGTCCCCGCGGAGGGGAGCACGTGGAGAACGTGCGCCGAGCACGTTATTCTCCCCGCGGAGGGGAGGTTCTGCCCTGACGGGATGGGCACAGGTTCTGCTCGTCAGGATGGGCACAGGTTCTGCTCGTCAGGATGGGCACCTGCCTGACGGGAGGAGGTTCTGCCCTGACGGGATGGGCACCTGCCTGACGGGAGGAGGTTCTGCCCTGACGGGATGGGCACAGGTTCTGCTCGTCAGGATGGGCACAGGTTCTGCTCGTCAGGATGGGCACCTGCCTGACGGGAGGAGGTTCTGCCCTGACGGGATGGGCACAGGTTCTGCCCGTCAGGATGGGCACATGCCTGACGGGAGGAGGTTCTGCCCTGACGGGATGGGCACAGGTTCTGCCCGACAGGATGGGCACAAGTTCTGCTCGTCAGGATGGGCACCTGCCTGACGGGAGGAGGTTCTGCCCTGACGGGATGGGCACAGGTTCTGCCCGACAGGATGGGCACAGGTTCTGCTCGTCAGGATGGGCACCTGTCTGACGGGAGGAGGTTCTGCCCTGACGGGATGGGCACAGGTTCTGCTCGTCAGGATGGGCACAGGTTCTGCTCGTCAGGATGGGCACCTGCCTGACGGGAGGAGGTTCTGCCCTGACGGGATGGGCACCTGCCTGACGGGAGGAGGTTCTGCCCTGACGGGATGGGCACAGGTTCTGCCCGACAGGATGGGCACAGGTTCTGCTCGTCAGGATGGGCACCTGCCTGACGGGAGGAGGTTCTGCCCTGACGGGATGGGCACAGGTTCTGCTCGTCAGGATGGGCACAGGTTCTGCTCGTCAGGATGGGCACCTGCCTGACGGGAGGAGGTTCTGCCCTGACGGGATGGGCACCTGCCTGACGGGAGGAGGTTCTTCCCTGACGGGATGGGCACAGGTTCTGCTCGTCAGGATGGGCACCTGCCTGACGGGAGGAGGTTCTGCCCTGACGGGATGGGCACAGGTTCTGCCCATGGGTCCCTGCTCATCAGTGTGGTCCAATTGGGCCCAACCTCAGTGGGATTTTGGGCCTTCTCGATTGTGGGCTAAGCCTCGGCCCAGTCCAGAACAGGAGCCCCCCAAGTCGTAGTTCGCTGTCAGGAGAGCTATGACTTAAGTAGAGAATAGCGTTGCGCGCGCTGATATGTCAGGCAGGATGCGAGAATGTCGTCGATCGTATCGATCATCTGGGAAGGGCGAAATTGCAGTCGCTCGACATCCAAAAAATTATGCTCGACACCTTCGATCGTTTCTGCTCGACACCCGGGGTCGTGCCCGTTTATTATAACGTTTTGACTTCTGGGCTTGTGCCCCTTTTATGGAATTCTTGTTTTCCTTTCTAAGTTTTGTGCGCGTGCATGATCGTTATGCTTTTTCGCTAAGTGTTGGCTCGTTTTGCCGAGCTCCATTATGACGTGAATGTTTATTGTTTTGTGGGGGACCTTTGCTCGGTGCGTGTTACCCGGTAGTGTGGGGAACTATCCGGATGCCCGGGGTAGCTTCCTGGGCGGACAAGAGTTAGGTCACGGTTGTGATCTATCCTGTAGGCTTGAACATCCCATCGCGAGCTGGGCGTTCGGCCGATTATGATACTGCGGCGGCGACTCTCGATCGAGGGGGTGCCGTCGAGCGGGCTATTCTCTTTTTGTTCGGGGAGATATAGTGCCCGCTAAGGTAAGGTCGGTGAGGTGTGGTCGTATCAGTCCACCCTCTTGTTCGCGCGGGTTGTCCCACGCGGGCAGTGTTGTTTAACTGTAGTATTTTTTAGCTTTTCAGCGTTCCATGGTCGAGCTATATGGTCCCGTGTAAGTTTTCGAGGTAGTAGGTTTTCGAAGGGAGGACAAGGCTGGATGGAAGCCAGGGTCCTGCCCGGCAGAGTCTTCTGCTCGACGAAAGAGAGGACAAAGACTGGCTGGTGGGCAGCCAGGGTCCTGCCCATTGGAGTCTTCTGCTCGGCGAAAGGAGGACAAAGACTGGCTGGTGGGCAGCCAGGGTCCTGCCCATTGGAGTCTTCTGCTCGGCGAAAGGAGGGGACAAAGACTGGCTGGTGGGCAGCCAGGTCCTGCCCATCAGAGTCTTCTGCTCGGCGAAAGGAGGGGACAAAGACTGGCTGGTGGGCAGCCAGGTCCTGCCCATCGGAGTCTTCTGCTCGACGAAAGGAGAACAAAGACTGGCTGGTGGGCAGCCAGGGTCCTGCCCATCGGAGTCTTCTGCTCGGCGAAAGGAGGACAAAGACTGGCTAGTGGGCAGCTAGGTCTTGCCCATCGGAGTCTTCTGCTCGGCGAAAGGAGGACAAAGACTGGCTGGTGGGCAGCCAGGTCCTGCCCATCGGAGTCTTCTGCTCGACGAAGGGAGGACAATTGTGAACAACGTCGCCATGGCGGAGGGCACTCGTGATCTTGAAGTTTTGAGAGATGAAGCTTTGGTTCTCTGCTCGGAGGAACGGGGGAGCTTAGTTTCCCACAGACGGCGCCACTGATCTGACCTGATCAGGAGGGGATCACGGGATGGCCACGCTCCGTTAGGCTGCTTCCTGTTCACCGGTGTTGAGGATGAGAAGGGGGTGTACCTGCAAGGCACTCCGATGCCAAAGTCAGAATTTGGGCAGAGTGAGAGCAAGAACAGAAAGTTAGAAGAGGTGAAAATTACCAGGCCCTCTTGGGGAAGAGGGTATTTATAGAGAGACCCCAGCGCTGGGCCAACGGTCATTCGAGGTGGGCTGGATGACCAGGCCCAACCCTAATGACTGCTAGGGCTTACGTGGCGTAGTGAAGACCAGGACGTGGTCTTCGCCCTAGTTCAACCGCTCCTAGATCTCCGGAGAGTGGGTTTGACCTGCTCTTTCGGAGGTGGGCAGTTGGCCGGTGACGTGTCCCCGCGGAGGGGAGCACGTGGAGAACGTGCGCCGAGCACGTTATTCTCCCCGCGGAGGGGAGGTTCTGCCCTGACGGGATGGGCACAGGTTCTGCTCGTCAGGATGGGCACAGGTTCTGCTCGTCAGGATGGGCACCTGCCTGACGGGAGGAGGTTCTGCCCTGACGGGATGGGCACCTGCCTGACGGGAGGAGGTTCTGCCCTGACGGGATGGGCACAGGTTCTGCTCGTCAGGATGGGCACAGGTTCTGCTCGTCAGGATGGGCACCTGCCTGACGGGAGGAGGTTCTGCCCTGACGGGATGGGCACAGGTTCTGCCCGTCAGGATGGGCACATGCCTGACGGGAGGAGGTTCTGCCCTGACGGGATGGGCACAGGTTCTGCCCGACAGGATGGGCACAAGTTCTGCTCGTCAGGATGGGCACCTGCCTGACGGGAGGAGGTTCTGCCCTGACGGGATGGGCACAGGTTCTGCCCGACAGGATGGGCACAAGTTCTGCTCGTCAGGATGGGCACCTGTCTGACGGGAGGAGGTTCTGCCCTGACGGGATGGGCACAGGTTCTGCTCGTCAGGATGGGCACAGGTTCTGCTCGTCAGGATGGGCACCTGCCTGACGGGAGGAGGTTCTGCCCTGACGGGATGGGCACCTGCCTGACGGGAGGAGGTTCTGCCCTGACGGGATGGGCACAGGTTCTGCCCGACAGGATGGGCACAGGTTCTGCTCGTCAGGATGGGCACCTGCCTGACGGGAGGAGGTTCTGCCCTGACGGGATGGGCACAGGTTCTGCTCGTCAGGATGGGCACAGGTTCTGCTCGTCAGGATGGGCACCTGCCTGACGGGAGGAGGTTCTGCCCTGACGGGATGGGCACCTGCCTGACGGGAGGAGGTTCTTCCCTGACGGGATGGGCACAGGTTCTGCTCGTCAGGATGGGCACCTGCCTGACGGGAGGAGGTTCTGCCCTGACGGGATGGGCACAGGTTCTGCCCATGGGTCCCTGCTCATCAGTGTGGTCCAATTGGGCCCAACCTCAGTGGGATTTTGGGCCTTCTCGATTGTGGGCTAAGCCTCGGCCCAGTCCAGAACAGGTATATTCCATCTGTTTCATATTATAAGCCAATTTTACTTTTTTGTTACATTAAATAGTTAATGTATCTAAAAAGTAATTATTCAATGTATTTAAAAATTAAAATTTGCTTATAATATGAAACTAGGGGTGACAAAACGGGTCGTGACTTGTCGGATCGGCCCGTTCACCCGTCAAAAAACGGCGGGTTGAGTTGAGATTTTTGGCCTGCCGCCCACCAAAGTCCTTCACCCGCCAAAGCCCGCCCCGCAAAAACTCATCGTCCGCAAAAGACTGCCGCACCTATTCGTTCAGCTTGTTCCACCTTAAATCCGACATTTTTTTAGTTAATTCTAGTCATTCTAATTTTTGATGGTTTTATTTTATACATTTATTCGAGAATATATGCAATATTTTTTAAAATAAAATTTGTTAAAAATATACTTTATAAAAAGTATTTAAAAAATAAATAAAAAATCTAATTAAAATATAAAAACAAATTTAATAATTTATTAAAAAAAAATAAAAAAAAGATAGACGGACAAGTTTGCCGTCACCTTGACGGAACGAGCTAAATTCTTATATCTATATTTACTTTGCGGATTTGTCCATCCTATCTATTTTTTTTTTTTACAAATTTAAGACAAAGTGGAGCGGCCGACCCTTACCAACCTTATATTAAACAGTAGAAAACACCATCAGAGATGGAAAAAATATCAACATTTAAGCCGTAATATTCAAACCGGACCAAGAATATTACTCGGGTCGAACCCCAAACCCGGTCCAATCTAATCAATAAATCAGGGTTCCCAAATTTCAATTGAAATTGCAACCATATATAATCTCAAACCAAAACGAAACCCTAGTTGTTGTTCTTGCCGGCGAGAGGAGAAAATGTCGACCGTACCAGGGCCACTCGTATGGGAGATCGTGAAGAAGAACAACTCGTTTTTGGTCAAAGAGTTTGGAAATGGCAACCAGAGTGTTCAATTCAGTAGAGAGAGCAACAATCTCTATAATCTCAACTCTTTCAAGTACTCCGGTATGCAAATTTTGTTTTCAGAAAGAAATTGATACTGTTGTTGTGATTTTGATGATGTGAATTTGAAAAAAAATGAACTTTTTGTGTTGTAGGATTGGCCAACAAGAAAACCGTTGCAATTCAGACTGCTGGTAAAGATCAATCTGTGTTGTTAGCTACAACGAAGCCAAGGAAACAGAATAAACCTTCTGTTTTGTCTCAGAAATCGGTTATGAAGAAGGAGTTTCGCAGAATGGCAAAAGCTGTTCAAAATCAGGTTAATTTTTTTAGGGCATGTTAATGGTATATTATGAAAGGTTTTGTTCTGATACATGAACAATTGATGCTAGTTCGGTGTTTGATATCTTACTGAATTAATAAATTTGATCATTCTTTTTTGATGTGGCTTTAATATCTTTGTTTGTTAGATTGCTGTAAGCTGCCTTGTTAAAATCTATATAGCACCTAGCACCGATACGACACTCATGATTGATTACGACACTCATGATTGATTACGACACTCATGATTGATTACGACACTCATGATTGATTACGACGCTTACTTTATTAAAATTTTCAAAATAGTACTGTTGCAGTGACAATGTCATCTTTGGGGTGTTTGGGTTTCGTAGGTTAAGATAGTTTAAATTTTTGATTCTGTTTCCTGCATAATTCAGCAGTGATGAGGCTCTAACATATAAGTAGAATCCCTATGTGGGTTTCTTCTGTGAAATATCCATGTTACGCTTGGCTTCTGAGCTTGAAAATTCTATTTCTGAACAAATTTTGATAGATGAATGGGAAATCTGCTTCTCTGTCTGATGTCAGTTAATAACTATCCTCTTGTCCCGGTGTTTTTGTCATTTAAAGTAAACAATATTCCGCATTGATCTGAATTTCTTCTAGCATGTTGTGATTTTCTGACTTAATTCTTGACAGTATGTTGTGATGCATGACCATAGTGATTTAGCCGCTTTTTAATTTTTAACTGAAGAATGTGATGTGCTACAGGTGGGAGACAATTACTATAGGCCTGATTTGAAGAAGGCAGCTCTTGCAAGGCTGAGTGCAGTTCACAGAAGCCTCAAAGTTGCCAAGTCTGGCCTCAAGAAGAGGAATAGGCACGCATAAGTGAAAGCAAATCTATAACCGTTTTGTTGCATTTGAAGACCCTTTGTTTTTGATCCATCATTTTTGTGTTTGTTCTCTAAGTATGTAACTACATGTTAGATTTTCTGAGTTTTGAAATCGAATTCATTATTTACTATTAATATGAAACCTTGGTTGATGAAAATCAAAGTCTGAAAAGAACGATGAAGTTTTTAGTGCTCTTTAGTAATGAAGCATGATTCAAAACATATGATTTTACTTTTCTAATTCTTGTATCTTGTTTGCACGAACAGATCAGTTATAAACCTTTCTTTGAAAATATAACTGGCACCAGATAGCCACAATTTTGAACATATGACATTTTAATCGAACTAATTGTTGAATGATAGTATTAATCTTATATAAACCAATTATTTTCCCAATATTCTTCGTAGTTAAGTTAACTTGGCACCTACACAATTACACATATTCAGAAGAATATATGATGTTGAAATGCAAACACCGCCCCTGCTTCCTGTATACTACCAACATTTTTTGTAACAATAATATTTTCAACTTACACCATTTGACTTTTTCATGTATTAAATTTATTAAGGCTTATGCTAACTCAAACTTAGAGAGAACATTTTTCTTTAAAATTGTTCATTTTAATTTTTCTAAATTTAAAATTTGTAAAACTCTATATTAGCATTGTCTAATTGATTAGTCCTTATAGATTTTTTAAAAAATTTATACAAAAAAGAAATATATATCATGATTATATTTTATACATGTATATAGGTTATTTATGATCAAGTATTAATTAAATCAAACTTGTTACAAAAACATCATAATTTCAAACATTGTATACTACATTAATTTTCACAAACAACTTTTAGCAACTAATTATAATATCAAACAAAACATCACCTATATATGTCTCTGAAGAAATCTCTATCTTTTAATAATGGCAACACAGTTTCCAATCTAAAGAGCCAGAAAACTTCAAAACGAAGACGTTTTGATCGTTGTTTTTCATCTGTTGAAGCTGTGCCTATGGAACCAGAAAAGAAGCTGAAAGAGATGGATTCAAATAAGCTGAAAGGTGAAATCAAGAGATGGGCCAAGGCTGTTGTTGCTTATGCTCGACAAGTTAGTGGCAGTTTCGGAAGATTTCATGGCAAGTCACAAATTTAAATTCAAAAGTGTGTGTGAAATGTATATAAATTATGCAGAATGAGTTGTATTATGTTCTTTCTATATTTTGAAAAACTTGAAGTAATTAGTAGTTTCTATATTTACACTTACTGCAAAAAATAACTATTTTTTGATATACATTTCTGGTATAGAAAATAGAGAAAACAAAAATAAAACTCCAGCTTTAGCTTTTAGCTTTCTTTCTTTCTTGCTGAAGTGTCAAAAAAGTGACACTCAAAAAACTGAAAAAGCTTCACTGTACTACTACAGCCTCTTCACCTTCATCTCTCCATAATTCCTTTCTCCTCCAGAGATTGTTCTTAAAAGCTTCTTAGAACACAAATCCTGTGCCTGTGTAGTGTGTTTTGCTCGGTTCGCTCTTACCCAAGCAGGCTCCTACAAAAGAAAACAGTGCCTTTGTCTGACATGGAAATGAATCATTAATGCGGATGTATACGAGATAGAAGAAACAATTACCTCGGGAACCAAGCGAGAGAAACCGAACTTAATCAACAAAAGAACATGTTCCATAATTAAAATTGCTGCAAGTCCAGGTTCTACTTTCCATTTTCCTTCCTCATCATATAGCCATACTAAAAGAGCACAGTTGGTGCAAATTGACATCAATATGAGAAACTGCAAAAGTGAAGGATATCCTCAAATGATCAGTGACATGGGAATCAAGTAAAATTTATAGTTCGAAATCACGTGTGACGGAATGGAGGATAAAGTAATAATCAACAGAACCATCAAAAGTACTGTAAATAAATACCTGAAATATGTTAAGCCAGGCTCCTACGGTCCCAGCAGCACGAGGAACAGGCCGTCTCAAAATTGCTAGCAGCTTCAGTGCATCTGTTCTGATTTCCATTATGTTGTTCTGAATAGGAAATTAATTAAGCGTTAATTATCGCACAAGTGATTATGCATAAGCTATTTCTACAATTGAATAGGAAACTTTTTTTAAGATCTGTGTAAACTGTTTCTATAATTCTTGATCGGGAGAAATAAGTTGAAAACAGTTTATGAAAATGTTATAAACTCTCCATATTTCTTTTAAATATTTACACAAGTACTTATGTCATAACTCAAAAGATAAGCCTGAAAAAGTAAGCAAGAAAGAGAAAAGCATTTATACCACGGTAGCAAAAGCAAATGCAGGTGGGAATGCACATGCGAACATCAAAATCATTCCAAACTGCAATGCCAACTCTAAGAAATCTGCAACCAGGTTAGAAATTTTCAGTTACTTCCATGAAAGCATGTCTGTCAGTCTTGTAATGTTTCCAGAACATGTTTAGATAGAAATTAAGCCCTTTTAGTTATAACGGCAAACACATGTTCACGAACACGAACTATTCCATATATTAAAGAATTAAACATTCAATCCATTTTGAGAGTATAATAGATTTGGCAGTACCATCAAATAACCCATCTTCAAGCTCCTCGCCGATGCTGGCAGTGTAAGAAGGCTTGAGGTATTCTTTCTCCACTCTAGAGATAAACTGAATTCTATCTGCTGATTCTCCTTTCTCTCTCTTCTTCTTGTGTCTTGACAAATGAAAGTGACATATTAACTGTTCTATGATGGTAATATGCTATTAAAAGGAATGTCGTGTATAATCTGCGTGTCTAGCTCGGGATAAACAAGACTTACCGAACACTGTACTTTTTATAGCTGTATTTGAGATAAGGCAATGAATTTTCCACTAAGTTTTCCAACACCTGAGATTAGAGATGGAGGAAATGAGACAAGTAAGGGGAAAATAGGAGAAGAATGAGACAGAGATAACAAGAGAAAACTTTTTCTGTACAACCTCAGACAGAAGGAGTCGCTGAATCAAAATTTTACGAAGAGTTGAGAAGTTACGATGCAACAAGGCGTGATAAAAAATTCCAATGTATGTCTGCATAAAATATAGACCAAACACCTGCAGAAGAAAAAAGTAACTGCCTAAGACTATGTTTGGAAACTTCGGTTTTCACAGTGGAAGCTCATGTTTATCAGAATCTAGAAATCTTAGCTTTCATAAGTTTCATGTTCAGTGTTGGAGCAAGAAATAAAAGCACCACAGGACCTACTAGTTTTCCGTTATTACCTTGTAGACCAAGCTATCAGCGCATTTTTCTGTGTTTTCGTTGTTTTCATTTTTGATAAGTCTGACAGATACCCGTCCTCCAATTTTAGTGATATACTGAATGGCGAAAAGGTAAACAGCAGTGAGCCCAAACCTGAACCCGAACAGTTAAAATAAGTCATAATGATGAAATATTCGACTCAATCATATATAAGATATTGCAACAAACAAATAAAAGAATATTCAATCAACTCTACAGAGTATAATCACAGCAAGGATTGATTCGGATTCTCACTTCATTGCATCGGAACCAATAACTTCATAAAGATGTGCGTATGCTAACTCAAAAGGTAACTGGAGACATATTATGCTGAAGATAATGAAAGCGTCGTTTCTGAATCGCATAAAACGCCCTAACCACTCATCTCTCTGGAATACTTTCTTCCCTTTTGCTCTATCAGTCTCAAATATTTTAAGAAGTTCCATTGGCGGCTGTAGTGAACTATCTCTCATTCCTGGAATCTTGTATCCCGGTTCAGCACCAACTGAATAGCTAAGAGGCCATCTGCAAGGAACACCACAATATGAGACGAAAAGCATCTCGGAAAGAATTTATCACATTGAAATAGCAAAACAACACTTATTTTCGAACACTTTTTATATGCTAAAACGACAGTTACCTGGCTAAAAGTGCTGAATTTTTACGTTTCCAGAATTGACAAAACATTACAGCCCAAAGTATCACTACGACGAAGAAAACGGGAAGCACTATTAATTTCGTTGACCTGAAATGCAATAAGACCTACAAATCACTTGCTAGATGCAAAAATACAGAAGTTGTGGTGGCATAAACAGATGCTACTAAACAAATTGGCTCACCTAAGAACAATGAATTGCAATGTAAGACCAAATGCAGCGAGGAAGAACAGCCACCGCGTGTACATTCCAAGAAAAGCAAAATATATTGCAATCTGCAGATCATTCATTCATTCAAAAAAATAAGGAGAATGGATATATCGTTTTCATATATTGTGGTATATAGCTCAGAATCGCATTTACCTTTGCTCCATAATATGAATAAATTTCGTCGATCGGCTGATCCGTTAAGTCCCACCAATGAAGAGCCCAAGTCCTGAGAAGTTTCTTTCTCGTCTTTTCATCTATCAATAAAAAAAAACATTAGTTTCAGATTCAAGTGATACTAAATTTGGAGAAAATTTGATGGTACGTGCGAGTAGAAAAAACACCATGCAAAGGGAAGACTTGCTTAACAATGTTCTCAGATTCCAATTTTTGAATCAGATTCTCCCCAGTTTCCCAATAGATTTCTTTCTCATCAAATTTAAGTTTTATCGCTGAATTGCCGTTATTTACCTACAAATTCAAAATACAAGAGAACCAAAATGTTATAACATGTCAATAGGATTATAGGAGTGTTCATACGAGGCTTTCATTTAGCGATGGATTTTGACGATTTTGACACATGGAGAGTCCAAATATCTACGAAAAGAACTTACTATTCCATATATCAAGTGACAGTAGCAATGAAAACGCTCGCACCAACTGAAAACAGAACCATCAGGTTGTTTTACAAAAGCTTCAACTTCCTCCAACTCAAATACTAAATCCATACCTAGCATTGAGCATGAGACACAGTAACACATTTCACATTGCAAACTTAAACGTAAAATTGCATTAGATAGAACACACGCCCCTATTCGAGGATTTACAGATATATACCTATATGAGTCCTTTTCTTGATTTGTAGTTCTGCTGCAGTTCTCCCTAATGTCTCCAAAGGTGCAGCCAACTAAACAAATATCACTGCCAATTTTTAGCTACTCCACAAAAAAGCTTAAATTAGACGCACAAAACGGAGTAAGTAAGCAATCAGATGGATTGGCTTATTTGAGCTTATCTGTTTGAATTGACTTATTTGAGCTTATCAACCAATAGAGTTGTTATAAGGCTGCTAGAGAGAACTTATGGAAATAGCTGATGACACATGTGAATAAGCTTTCCGGAATAGCTTATGAAAATAAGATAACTTTATTGTCTATAAACATTTATAAGACAAAAATACCACCCAATATGGAATGAAATTTCTATAACATTTAAGAAGCATTTGAATTTGAATAAATAGATTATACTTAACATATTCACAAGAAGACAAAAAAACATTCAAAATAGAAAGGAATTGAAAAAAAACCTAACCTTAATGAACTCATCTGCAATGCCAACAATTCTCTCAACTACAAACCCCGCCTTCTTGAATTCCTCAACAAGAACATAAGCACAATCAGATGATTTGTCATTTTCCTGTATGATCCTCCTTGGAATCACCACCCCAATTTCAAAAACAGCTTCTTCATTTTCAAGTTCATTCATTTTTTCAACCCCAGTAACTCAATGCACAAGAAAAACGTCAATACAGTCGAACTGTTATCAAATGGGCAGAAGAAAGATCCGTTTTTTGGGCAATGAAAATGAAAACTTTCAGAGAGAAATGAAATAAAGCTGAAAAAAGCAACCTCTAGGGAAGGGGCAAAGATAAAATTGGGTGTATATGAGTGAAATCAAAATGACGATGATTTCAAAGAAGTGGCGAAATTAGAGATTATTATAAACATAAATTAAAAACATGGAAGAACACAACAAGGATCTAAGTTCGAGGACTTTGAGGAAAGTGTTCAGAGAAACGGCCATTTGGTAGTAACATACGGTGTTGTACACGTGCATGTATTGTACTCTTGGTGTTTTTTTTATTTACATATATTTTTATTTTTACAAATATATATATTTTTGTGTGGGTGAAATTGCAAACATACTTTTTATTAGGATTTAATTGGTATATAGTGTAATCTACAACTATATGAAAGGAATATTAATTTATGGTGTAAGTTTATTCTTTCAAAGGGAGATAAAAATTTTAGGCATAGAAATAACAAGAAGCACAATTAGGTTTTGGTCCAAGGTTATTTGACTTATTTCAGAACATGGCACTTGGTTTAATGGATAAGATAGGATTTGAATAAATTATAAAGATATGGCGGTCAACCTTTTTTTCCTAGATATGATTCGATGTTTTGTTTTTATGGGCTATCAATGTTTCTTTATTCATTTGCTTGAAACTCATGAGTTTGATTGAGGCACTTTCTAATGCTTCTAATTTGCTATATATATTGGTTTCTTATATGACGTGGTGCATAAAATGAATGAAATTTTTGACATATCAATTCACTATTTTCTGATGTTAGAAAATCACGCATTCACACAGCCAGTGTAATATAGGTTATATGATTGAAATTAAATGGTATAAATATAATATTTAATGAACATATGAAAGTTTTTTTTATAGATCAATGGTTAGGATTTCTCTATGGTTAAATAACTAATTATGGAGAATCCATTTTCTAAAAAATAAAGACTTTACCTATTTTGGTTTGATAGTTGTTAATGGTTAAAAGATTAGTAAATTGTTTTCTTCATTTAACTTAAATAATGTTAACCATTTTGTTTTAATATTCATGCTCATTAATAATTAAGTCCAAGAACGTTTGAGAGTTAGATTTCAAATTAATAGATTTGTACTTGCTAAAAGTGCTATGGATGATAACCCCTATCAGTGAGGTTGTTTGATGATTTTAGGATTGTTGTTGGTTTATAGCAAGTTCACGTAGTAATGGTGAGTAACTCTGTATCTATGTGGTTTTTAAGTGAATCAAATGTCTCACTTAATCGTGTGGTTAAGATATTTATAGAAATTTGTTGGGTCTGAATCTCCGAAACTATTGGGTAGTTATTTTAGGCCTCTTAGAAGCATGCAATTGTTATTTTCCCTATTCTCTAATAAAACATGAGTTTTTCCTTTGATTGAGATTTCATGTCGTTAGTGCACAAAGACACGTCAATCTATTGGAACAAAATTGGTTTGTATCATATTTTTAAGGTTTTGATGATAACAAAGTATTTAAAGAATAATTGAGTATACTAATAAATGTTCAAGTGCGTAGGATCATAGACTAAACTTTTTGATATAAACTTAGTAATGGTACTTAAAATGAACATTTAAAAAGAAGATAAAAGATTCAGAATCTGAAGGATCAAAACCTTAGAACTATACTCTGAAGACTCAGACTCTAAAGGAGGTCAACTTATGAAGACCAGACTCTGGAGAAAGTCAATCTCTCAAGACTAAGACTCTGAAGGTCTTCGACTTTGGTCAATCAACATAAGTATCAAGAAGACTCTGATAGGTCACTATAAAACTCAGAGATCATTTTGTCTTCTTTTGATTACGTGTAGATGCAAACAAAATTTTGCACAGATAACTGAGATGTAATTGATAGTTCCTCTTAAAGCAAAGAGAATTCAAATATATTTTCAACGACATTAACCATATCAAGTAACATTCCGACACTTGTTATATACTATTATAAATAAATGTTAACCATCCAAGTGTCTCAATCTTAAGAGTCCTAAGAACATTCTAGAAAACATAATAATCTAAAATAATTCCTAATATATCAAAATACTAATAAAACTTATTTAACTAATGATAAATTATTCTATTAAGCTCCATATCAGAAGCCCAACATTAATATAAACTTAGAAATAAGCCTACTTTAGGTGATCACGATAAATAAAGTAGTTTTTAAAAAAGTTCATACAATGACAGACTAAATGCCTTTTGTCTTCCATTCATCTCCTCGACTTTGTAGGATCCATGGGATAACTTATGACATATGTGGTATAGATATATTGTAGTTTTCCTATTTGGGCTAACACAATAACATGTTCGAGTACGAGGTTGCCCTCATGCATTTCTTTTGGGATTACTTTCATGTTGTACCTTATATCCACCTTTTTTTGATAGTAAATTTCTTAACATGCGCAACATCGCAGGTCTCGTCAGTCAAGTCGGCTGCATATATAAGTCATGCCTCATTCTTTTTTTCGCTGAATTGAGAATGCCTCTATGTGACTGTGTTAATTTCAATAGGTAGCATCTTAGCAACATACATCATTGTATATGAAGTCTCTTTGGTGGAGATGTTTAACCTATAGCCCTTTGGCTTCATCAATTTTTTCTTTATCTCGCCCAATATTACTTTGTTTGCTGACTTAACATGCCCGTTCTTCTGTGGGTAGACAAGGGAAATAAACTTCATCTATACTCCTAAATTGCAATAGAAATCAACCATAATGGAGCTGGAAAATTGAGCACCATTTTCGGAAATGATGATTCCTAGCAAACCAATCATGCACATGATCCACTACCAATAGAAGTAGTGAACCTTTTTGTTTATGATCTTGAAGAAGACTTCAACTTCTATCCATTTCATGAAATAATCTACTCCAACGATCAAGAACTTCAGCGTTAGCGAAAAATACCCAAGATGTCCACGTCCTATTGGTAGAATGGTCAATACGACATGACATAATGAAGGATCTCAACTCGCATATGATGTAGATTGACATGCTTTTAGCATTTGCCATATTTTTTTTTACGAATGCTACATTATACTTCATCCGAATGGGTCAATAATGAGACTGTCACATATCCCCTAGTCGACCTCTATGTAGTCAAATCAATATTACTGTACCTGCCATAATTATTGGGAAGGATTATATATGTGTGTGCATATACTTGAGTTTTAGGGTGCCATGATGTCTTATACCTTCTTTCATCAATTTTCTTTCTACTCACAATATCCTTACTCTCACTGACACTAATTTTAAACTCTTCTTTTTTTTTTTTTCTTTTTTTTTTTCCTTTTACATATTCTTATTTCCCAATTTAAAATGGAAACCTTAGAAATCCTATTATATTACTTGATTATCTCTTTTTATATTTATAAATCATCACTATTTCTAGAGTAAGAGGGGAATGTTTTTATTTTTAAGGTGCTGGAAAAAATGTTGTGGATTATGAAAGCTAGAAGCATTAACGTGTTGATTTTGCTCATTCATAAAGCTAGAAGCATTTAGGAATGGAATGTGTTCGTACCTTATCCCTGTTCTAATAAGTTACTCGATGGAGAATGATCCACAAAGTAAAAAAATTCTAAGGTGAAGATATTTATGGCCACGTTGACGTTAGATAAGTGAAACTAGCAGACAAATATCTCTCACTCAAAAGAAAGTTCTAGGACCTAGTGAGTAGGCATAAGCCCACACTAAAGAAAATGAATGACCCAAGCAAAAGAGAAAAAGAAGGACCATCAAATGACATAACAAATTATATCTCGCAGTCTAGCAATATGGACGATCTGCATGGAAATTAAACAATGTCAAAAGAAACCCCATGAGAATTCGTGTAAAATGTACAACAAAAGACACACGAGTTACAAAAAAATTCATAACTTTATGCCTCTCATCTCTGACGATCACTGACTTGGACATCAAAGTATGTGCATGTATCCCCTATTTCCTTTTTTCTAAAACGACCGAGGTACGAGTAGGAGATCTCTTTTTCAGAACAACTCATGAGTGATAATTCAAAGAAGAAGCTTCTTTATTAGAATGAACAAAATGGAAATCTGAGGAGCTCGGCTAACTCCTTCGTTCACATATCCCTTATTCCCTCGACTTCTCATAATAAAATTTTCCTTCAAACAAATCGACTTTTGCGTCGAATCTATGACCAACACCCACATGTTTACAACCTATAAAGCACACAAGAAAGAAATGCGCAAAAGAAACAAATACCCTACTTACAAACAAATCCATTTAAAAAAAAACTAACAAACTCAAAAAACACAAGGATTTCAATAGGAATTTTAGATTCGATTCAACAATTCTAATTCTGATAAATTTATATAAAGTTTTGCCACAAACATTCTAATGGTGATGCTTATGTTATTACAACTTCATGCCCTCAATTAGTGTTGTTACACATGCGTAATTGCTCTAGTGTTAACTAAGATACACCATGTGAAAATGATCTTATTATTAATTTTTTTTTACTTTTCTATGATTCTTACCTTTATCAATTTCCCTCGACTTCGTTTTATGTTAAATTATAATTTTACTTTTATTTTTATTTTTATATTATATAATAATTTGAATCAATTAATTTTTTTATTTATATCATTTAACTCATGCCACATCATCAAATGAACAGTCACATTATTAAAAATACACTTAAATTAGATGAAGGCTAAAATCTTATAAATAGTAAAATAGTTCTAATAGTTGAGTTTTAAAATGAAGATATCCAAATTAAAAAAATTAAAAATAAATAGACTAAAACTGCATTTAAATTATATATTTTTAAATATAAATTTATATTCTTTAATTATTTTATTTTATTAATATAGATCGTGTTAGGGCTGGGCAGCGGGTCGGATCAGTTCGGGTTCGGGTCCAAAATCTTAATCCGACCA